ACAAGAAATTGTTTCTAAAAAAAAAAAAAAAAAACTGAAGGAAATACAAAATTTCAACTACAGAAGAGTAGAATAAAGATAGTTTATAGATACATTGAATTCTTTTCATAGATTTATAGCCTGCAGGCTTAAGAATTCTGGTAAAAATAAACCTATTAAATTCATATTCAGTGTATAAATATTTGCTGTGAATTGAAGGAGGATACACAGTTTGAAAGAAAAGTATCATCTTGCTACATGACAATTTGTAATTCAAATTTAGAAACAAGACATTAGAACCAGTTAGAGTACAATGTTGGGTTTTTTTCCCAAAATAAATGACAAAGTAAGAGGTAGAGCAACTTCCATGATACAGAAATTATTTTTCATTCAAGTAATGTTAGAGACATAATGAAGTGATAGGAGTGTGAGCCAAAACAAGAATAGGACCTAGAAATCCATGAATGCCAAGTTGTGGAATTTGGATTTCATTTGAACAGAAAACTAAAATGAGTAATTACTATGCTGAACTCTTCAATTAACGTTGGACATACAAGGAGAAATTAAATAAATTAGAAAATAATTTTTGAAGAGAAGTAACAAACTACTTAAAATGTGTTTTGCAATAACACATAAAAACAGAATGGAGGGTTTCTGCCACCATCCTGGGGCAAGTCTGGCCCACAGAAAAACTAGGGATGTTAGGTGAGCTGCCTGGGAGAGGCCAGACTTGGTGATCCACCTCCTGCCACCATTGCAGGGCAAGTGTGACCCCCCAGGAATCACTGGACTGCCTAGGGAAGGGCAAGGCTCCATGCTCTGCCTCCTGCCACCATTACAAAATGAGTCTGACCCTCAGGGAACACATGGACCTTCAGTGACCTTCCTAGGAAGGGTGAGGCTTGGTGCTCCTCATCCTGCATCAAAAATGACAAGATGAAGGAGCAAAATGCAATCTCAGAACTCCTCCCCAAGCAAGAAAGTCCAGGAGACATTGATTTAGAAGAACTTGAAAATCACAAATCTGAAATTTCTAAAATGATAACAACTGAAGAAAGGAAACAATTCCTTCGGGCCATGGAAGATATCAGATCAGAAATAATCTCACAAGTAAAAAAAGAAATAACAGCAATAATGAAAGAATTGCTCAACACATTCAAAGAAGACATAGATTAAAAAAATAGAGGAACATGGAAAAATGATGGAAACTTTAAATGAACAATATAGGAAAAAACTGGAATGCATGAACCAGATTCAAAGAGATATCTAGGAAATTAAAAGTTCCATCAAAAGCTGGCAAAACTGCTTTAATTAAACTGAAGATACACTTTCAGACCTTGAAGACAGCATTGCAGCTAATGACGGTGAAAGGAAAGATCTCTTAAAAATAACAAGGAACCAGGAAATAACAATTCAACAGCTGCAAAATGATGCAAAGTAAAACAATGTAAGACTAATATGTGTCAATGAAACAGCAGGCATCAACACAAATGACATAAACAAGGTATTTGCAGAATAGCAAAAAAATTTCCCAAGCTTGGAAAAAGTATCTGACATACAGGTAAGCAAGGCATAGAGAACTTCAATTAGTCATAACCAAAATAAATCCACACCAAGACATATAATAATCAAGATCCCAGAAATTCAGCAAAAGAACGAAATAGTAAAAGCTGTTAGGGAAAAAAAAACAGATCACCTATAAAGGAAAGCCCATCAGAATCATGTAGCTTTCACAACACAAACTATCAAGTCAAGAAGAGCTTGGAGTGAAGTATTTCATGTCTTGAAAGAAAACAACAAACAATCCAGACTGATGTATCCTGCAAAACTATCTTTCAAACTTAATGGAGAAATAAAATATTTCCATGACAAAGAACAACTGAAGAAATTTATGAGTGACAAAGCAACCCTACAAAGTACTAACAGACATTCTAGAAAGAGATAAAAATGAATAAAATTTCAAGAACAACAATAGAAAGGAACTATGAAGCAGAGCAAGCAATTATACAGAGGGGAAAGGTAAGGAACCAACAGCAGAAAAATAACATGACAAAGATAAGCCAATACATGTCAGTTATAACCACTAATGTAAATGGCCTCAATTCACCAATCAAAAGAAGCAAACTGGAAGAGTGGACCAGAAAAAAAAAAAAATTCAACTGCATGCTAGCATTTAACTGAAAAGAAAATTCACAGACTGAAAGTCAAAGGATGGAAAACAATTCTCCGTGCAACATGAACCCAGAAAAAAAGCAGGGATAGGTATTCCATTTGCAGTCAATGTGAACTCCAAACTAAGAATGATCAAAAGAGATACATAATTGTCAGGAGAAAACTTCAAGAAGAAGAGATAACAATCATAAATATGTATGCAAAAAATATGGGAGCACCCAATTTTATAAGACAAACCTTAATAGACATGAAAAACCAAATAACACTAAATAACAGTATTGTAATGGGGGATCTTAATACCCTATTGATACAAAGAGATAGGTCAACAGATCAAAAAATCAGCAAAGAAATAACAGAACTGAATAAAACTTGTGAACAAATGGACTTAGCATATGTTTACAGAGTGTTCCACCATACAACATAAGAATACACACTCTTCTAAGCTGCACATGGGACTTTCTCTAAAATAGACCACATACTAGCCCATAGAACATGCTTAATTAAATGCAAAGGAACTGAAATTATTCCATGCATATTATCTGACCATAGTGCAATGAAATTGGAAATTAATTATAAAAGGTATCAGAAAAATGCCATAAACATGGCATTTATGGAAATTCATAATAACCTCCTGAACAATCAATGAGTCACAGAGATGAAATTAAAGAAGAAATTAAACAATATCTACAGTCAACCAAAAATGTAACTACAACTTCCTGGAATCTGTGAGATACAGTAAACATAGTCCTCAGAGGAAATTTATAGCAGTGAACACATACATCAGGAAAATAAATAAGAACAAATAAATAGCTTAACACTACACCTCAAACTTCTAGAAAATAAAGAGTATATAAAGCCCAAAGCCCAAAGAAGGGAGGAAATTATAAAGATAAGGCAGAAATTAATGC